TTCTTAGTTTTGGAAATCCAAGGGGAAGTTTCCTTCTTGGTTATTTGTGTTAGTTGTCATTGAAGTTTGTAATGAAGATTTCCTTGTGATACCCTAAAGGTAGGTATCCCTAGTGGGTCATTAAAGTTAAAATGTGATGAGTGTTCTTGGTGGGTTGTCAATATTCGACTCAAATCAAATTTGTCAAGGGCAAAGGTGATGTGTCTCTCTTTAATACTTTATTCCTTCTTTCCTTAGAGGAAGTCCTTATCATCTCCCTTAAATTCCTTTTCTGACATTGTTAGAAGGACCTCGTCTAGAAACCCTCCTATTATTTTGTAAACCTCTTATTGATTACCCTAAAGTTTTCCTCTTTCTTCATGATAATTATGAAATTATACAAGTGATTGCTCTTGCTCCATGAGAATTGTTTTCATCTTTGACATGAATGGTGACGCTACTCCACCCAACGACATAGTCGACACTTTCTCTCCATCAATCTATGATAGAGCTTCAATCGGAAGCTAAGAAGACATCTTGCAATTTCTTGTACTCACCATCATGAACAATTTCTTTGATTAACACAAACAAAGAAATTTATGAGATATAATATGTTCCACACAAATGGTTCCAATGTTTTGTGTTGAGTGAAAGTTGTCCCTTCAAATGAGCTTCACAGTGGTGTTCATAATGGTGATCACAAACTCGAGAAATTTTGGTTGTGGCACCTACAAGGGCTCTGAAGGTAAAGTCGGTACCATTTTTAAGTGTGTGTAAACATGAAGAATAGTTACGTACCATTGTAAGAAAGTCCTTTTATATAAAGAACATGCAAGAAAGTTTACATTTGATACATTTTGTTACACCACATGGAATATCAGGTGCCAAGCATCTTGATTTTGCCAAGTATATTTTTATATCTTACTAAGCTCAGTTCATCTAGAGTTTACCCGAGCTAATGTTGAACTAGGTATAACTTATATGAGTAGATTGACTTAGCATTATAAGTGTGGTTGTAACATAAGGTTGTTTTATCAAAGTTTGGGTCAAGGCAATCTCCAAAACAACATTTATAAATAATGATTATGAGCCCTATTACATGAGAAATATCCTATGTGAGCTAGAGTTTCAACCTTTCAATTGTATCTTTTGTGGAGGAAAAAATTTAAATGGTTATTGTAAGGCCTATTTTATAGGAAATGTCTCGTAGGAGTAAAAGTCACACTTTCACAATCAACCTGAAGCATCAGAGGTAGGTTCCTCAATCTTGAGAATGTGTTGATAGAATTTATGTAACCTACTGAAACTAGATTCAAAGCTAACCAAACTTCAATTAATAAATAAAAAATCTTGAGATTCAAATCAAGAATATTGTAGAAAAAAATTATAGAAAGTTCTATAAGTAAGAGATAGGGGATAAGAGGGGTTTTGATTCTTTTCTCGGTCATAAATGGTTCAAGGGACAAGAATGTAAAACTCAAAGAAATTGAGGTGAAAATTGTGTGTTCTCCTCTGGAGAATTCTCTATTAAATAATAAGATTCCAAATTGATTTATAGCCTTGAAATTTGCTAAAAAATTATAGCCTACATCTAGGCTAATAAGAATATAATTACATAATTACAACTATACAATCATGTAAGATATGTTATTTTAAAGGGTCAGCAAATTGGCAAAAATTATGTCAAATAATTTGTCATCAATTATATTAACATCCCCCCTCAAATTGATGCTAGTAAATCTAGAAGCATCAATTTTCTGATTAGGAAATTATGTCGCTGACGTGTCAAGGATTTGGTGAGGATGTCAGCTATTTGAATATATGTTGAGACATGAGGTAAAATGATAATTCTTTGATCATAGGCCTCCCTGGTTAAATGACAATCAACCTCTATGTGCTTCATTCTTTCATGGTATACAGGATTTACTACAATCTGTATGGCACTAGTATTATCAACATGTAATGGAGTAGGTTGTGTTTGTGAATAACCAAGTTTAGAAAGAAGGCCCCGTAACCAACTAATCTTAGAGCATGTGACCTTTTTTGGCAGTAATTGCAAAACATTTTAGGACAATGAGAAGTAAAATGGCCAAAGCCTTTACAGCAAAAACATTGGACAATATTCATGTCTCATCCTTGAGGTTTGCTTTATACTGCATACGCCATAGGAAGAGAGGTAGATTTTTGTTGTTCTAAATTCATCTGAGTGAAGAGATGTTGTTCTTCACAAAGAAATTCATTTAGGCATTCATCTAAGGAGGGGACAGTAGTCCTGTTCATTAGGTTGGTCTAAATGCCCTCAAAATCATATCTCAATTTCATAAGAAATTGATCTCGTTTTAGTGTCATGGACATTTTTTACTGCAATTTGTCTTTCAATTAACAGATCTTTATAAACAATGTTAGTATATTCAATCCAAAGATTCATGAAATGTGAATAAAATTCAGAAATTAAGAGACTATCCTATTGAAAAATGGCAATTTCATGTTCAAGTTAGAACCTGCAAGCAGTGCTGTTCTGGTTATAAATTTCTTTAAATATTCCCACATCTTTGCTGCCATGGTGAAGGGTATGAGATTGAGGACAATATTAGGCTCAACTGAGCCGATGATCCAAGTCATAACTTGTGCGTCTCTTACCTCCCATTTGGCATGTGCATGTGCATTGATTTGTTAGGAGCAAAATCAGTTATGTCAACATGACCCTAAATCTCCTTGCCTTTGACAAAGATCTGGAACTGGAATGTCCAAGTTGAGTAGTTCTTTCCATTAAGACAAATGAAGAGGACATCATACTTGTTAGTAGACATTATGTCGCGACGTGAATGGTGGGCATTGTGAACAATACCGTGTAAGAGATTGGAACTAGGAACACAAAGACTAGGAGCGCGGCGGAAAACAACTAGGTTTGAATCGAAACCAAGATTGATACCATGTAAAAGTCAAAGAAATTGAGGTGAAAATTGTGTGTTCTCCTCTGAAGAATTCTCTCTTAAATGATAAGATTTCAAGCTGATTTCTAGCCTTGAAGTTTGCTAAAAAATGTTAACCTACAACTGGGCTAATTAAGAATATAATTACATAATTACAGCTATACAATCATGTAAGATATGTTGTTTTAAAGGGTCAACAAATCAACGAAAAATAATGACAAATAGTTTGTCATCAATTCTATTGACAAGGAATTGGTCCCTTATGTATCATTAACTAGCTTTCGTTTAAATTTGAAGTACATAATGTGTTGGAACTCTTGTGTTCGTTAGGTGATTGTATAGGGTGTGTTTTTCTAATTTATTTTCATGATTACATGATTAATATATATGCTTTGATCTTTGAAATAAATTCTGTTTGTATTAATGCTTCAAAATTTTGAAAACCTTTTAAGAGTGCTTATTATATCTTTGATGTATATTTTGTTGTATTGATGCTTCAAAATTTTGAAATCCTTTTAAGAGTGCTTATTGTAATCCTTGTGTGTATTTTATTCATGGTCTAGGTGAAAAGTTACTTTGATGGAATTAAAACCTTTTTGTAGATATAATAGAATTAAAATTTGAGTCAATAATTCTCTCTTTCAAAAGCCACTTATGCCAAATGTTAAATGATCATGAAGTAAAGTGAGTGATCTTTACCCAAGTTAAACTTAGTAATCATATAGCAATTGGGATGAAATATTAAGAGTATTTATTTTATAAAATGGAAATTTTTCTTGAATTATAACAAAACAATGATATTTTGTTTTGAATCATAAAAATTATACAAAAACGCACTAGTACAAAAGACCCCTTTTACGTCGGGGATTTGAAGCCTTTTACGTCGGAAAAGCATCAGACGTTAATACGGGAGACGTAAAATTTACGTCGGGGGTCAAAAACCGACGTAAATTTACGTCGGACATGCCAAGGTCCGACGTAAAAAAGTCATAAAAATTTTAAAATAAATAAATAAAATTGAGTGCAAGCAGAACGGCCCGTTCTGCTTGATAGACCCAGGCAGTGGTCACTTCCTTCTGCAGCTTCACAAACACGAAATGCAACACAAACATTAACACAAACAGATGCTACCTCATAGAAAAACATCCCAGAAAATACAAACTTGATAGAAGATGCTACCTCATAGAAAAACAGGATGTATGGTTAAGCCATTTCCATCAACACGCGAAGAAGAAACCAACGCAACTCCGAAGAAGAAAAACAGAAGAACGTGAAGATGAAGAAGACAGCCACGATTTGAGGAGGAGGCAGAGGGATGAGGAAGAAAAATCCACAACGCGCGGGAGAACGTGAAGGTGAGGAAGAATGCCACGATTTGAAATCTATAGTGCGCGCCTTTCATTTAAGGAGTTATTTACGTCGGACAAAGATGGGTCCGACGTAAATGAGATAATTTATGTCGGCTGCTTTAGCTGTCCGACGTAAATTATATCATTTACGTCGGACACATCGATGTCCGACGTAAATTTCCTCCTCTTATTTACGGAACTGCCACCGCGTTTTTACAACGTCGGGTGTGCTAGTTTCCGACGTAAATGAAGAGACGTAATAGCTCCTTTTTCCACTAGTGACGACAATTAACTTCAAACCAATAATCCCACGCATATTATTCTAACCCACCATAGATCAACCTTAATAATTTAATATAACTATTTTAAATGAGTATAAAGTGAAATATGTGAAGTTGAGTGAATTTAGTGACATAAGGAATTAATAGTTAAGATTTTGAGATACAACAATAAAAATTCTATTTTTCAATCACAATTCTTCATATATTTTCTCAATTTGTCTCCTCTCACTTTTATCTTACGAGGATCTTTGTGCAAAATTCATTCTTCTAACCTGGAATGCATTCATTTAAACATGTCAAAACCTTGGGATTTAGAACTCGTTTCATGAACTAAAAGTATATTTAAAATTATACATAAAAAAAAAAAAAAAAAAGAGTGCAACCCTGTCCTTTATAGAGGCTATTGAAGTCATTACATTGCAGCATTGTGGTGTTCTTTCTTTAATGACAATATAGTAATATTTTTTCTCACTTGCTATTACGCTTTACATTGAAGTTACCATCTTTTGAGCTTCTCAACTCTGTGACTCACTGCCTCCATCATGCTTTGCCTCCGAACCAAACCTGAGAGGTAAGAAGTCACTCTCACGTCCACCCCTTTTCTCTCTCTGATTTGTGGCTTTCAGAGCCATTAATGTGGTTAGTTAATCCAACATTTTAACAACTTCAGTTTAATTGGAACCAAAGAAGCTCTTGCGTTTGAGTCTTTTCTCCTCTGGTCAAATGTCAAATTTATACCACTTTTGTTGAATGCCGATGCCATTGGTTTGTTGTTTTCGCACTTTGTCAGTATATTTTGACTTTATTTTGTGTTGTTTTTGTCAGAGGGTGCACAATCTGGAGGTCATACTTCTTTGTCTGAAGTGACACTTGTTCGGGCAATTTCCTAGTATTTTGTTTCAGTGTGTCATTCACTTCTACTCTTTCGTTTCATTCAGCAAAATAAAAAAACAGTAATGGCTCAACAGGTTCGTTCCTTCTTACCTTCTCTCTCTTCTTTTTATTTTTTTTTCTCTCTCACACACAAATGCACAAAGATGGGGTGCATACATAATTTGAAGTTATCCGAAGTTCTTTCATAAACTTGGTTGCTTTTGTAAAATTTGAGGTTTTTGGCTTTTGTTTTGAAATTTGGTGGGTGATGATGGGGATTGTTGCTGATGCAGGAAGAAGGGTGGCCTTTGGGATTGAGATTCTTGAACTCTAGAATTGGGTTGGTGAGAAATGGTTCTGGGTCTGCCTCCTTCAGCACTGTGCTCACTGCTTCTCACACCCCTTCAATTGATTTTTCCTCAGATCTTGACACCGAGGTTAGTAATTTTCTTTCAACAAAAGTTATTATTATTATAAGGCTTTATTGCTTTCAATTGTGGTTGCAGTATAATTTAGTTGCAGTTTTTGATGTTGTAAAAACATGCAAACAAAAGCAACAATGCAGCTGAAATTGCAGTCTCAGACTATTTTTAAAATAATAATAATAAAAATAAAAATAAAAATAATATAATTATTATTATTATTATTATTTTAAGATAGTGATGTGACGATAACTTAGTTTCGTTGATACCATTGCTACTTACTGCTACCTGTTCCTTTGTCCTAAGATGCAATAACCTTGCTTGCATCTTGCAAGTAAGATAGTGTTGTGACGACCACTTTGTTTCATTGATACCATTGCTACTTACTGCTACCTGTTCCTTTGTCCTAAGCTGCTACGACCTACCTTGCATCTTGTTATGTTATTGTTTTTTTATTTGGTTTCATTTTGTATTTTTACTACAATGATGGCACCATTTTATTTGTTTTGGGTATTATTTATAAAAGTGATTAGAGTCACAGAAAGTGACGTCTCAAATATTTTGTATGTACGTGTATATGTCTTGATGTAACTTTTTTGGTACGAAAAAATGACTGTTTCATTTACCTGCAATGGTTAATCAAGTTTGATTGTGACTCTTGCACTTCTCATCTTCACAGTAATGTTCCCTTTTCGGTTATTGAACCATTTCCTATTCAGCTCGTCTTAAATTAGACATGCTTTACTCTTTCATATTTTGGTTAGAACAATGGCTTTTGACTATGCACTGTGTTTATTTCTCTGACGAAGATGAAGCTTTTTAATTTTTGAATGAGTCCAAACCAAAGATGAATAGGAAAAGGAAGCTACACGTAATGAACACGCCCATAAAGCTTCGATCTCTTCCCCTGTCGGTCTCTTTTGGATCCTTCGTTTCTTTTGTGTATAAATAATTGCTTGGTTCTAATGGGGTCCATGGCATGGCCTAGCACATAATTGTTTGACAGAGAGTGACGTTGATTTCACTTTAATTGCCATTTTGTTGGTATACTGTTTGTCATTTTGAGATCAGTTGAAAGCACGCTTTGTTGAAATTTAAGTCTTCTATTAGAGGGGTTTGGAGAAACTTCTTTTAAATGTTGAAAACTACCCTTGAGCAGTGAGAAAGGGACAATCATATTGTAAAACAGATCAAACACAGAAGGTTATGAGTAACATTTTCTGTAGATGCTTCTTTAGTAATGATTGTGAGGGAGCCTTGACATAATAATAGCGTTGTTACCCTGTGAGCAAGTCAAGGTTCAAACCTTGGAAATAGTCTCTTTGCTTTTGAGGGAATAAAACTGTGTACATTTACCCTCCTCAAAGCTCAAACTCAATTAGATGGGAGCCTCATTATGTACTAAAAGAAGATGGAAGCCTCATTCACTAGGCTACCCTTTTTCTTAGTAGATATTCTTTACTGAAAAGAAAAAACAGTCAAAATATTATAAGTTTTGTTAATGTTGTTCTACAATCATAGTTTGAATTTTATCATAAAATATGCGTAAATGTATCATATCGAGATTTGTATTAAATGTAATTTCCAAGGTGAAATACTAATTATGATTGAAAAATGATGCCAAATGTACATATGATACGTGTACTTAAGTTTTATCCTCATTGAATTGTTTTCTGCAATCATGTTAATGAATGTGAATTGAAATTTGGCATATATTATACTTGTTCTTAACAGTATTCTTGAGCAATTTTGCCTAACTCATTTGACATGGCTTACTGTAGTCCACTGGATCATTCTTCCATGACAAGAGCATTACACTTGGCAACCTCATTGGCATTTCTAACTTCTTAGAACTCTCAAGGAGATCAACTAGGGGAAGAATGGTGGAACCCTCAATGAACAACAAAAAGATTCATAAGCTGAAGCCTTGGTTGTTTTCACTTTGTTCAAGGCTAAGTACTGATGCAGTGAGTGGGAATGATGCTCCCTCTCTTGCTCACTACCTTGAAGCTGAGAGAAGAGCTGCAAGTACTTTCAGAAGGAACCAAAACCAATATCCAACCACTCATGGACACAATGGTTTCTCCCCTATTCAAGACTCAACCTCACTATTAGTGGGGAGCCAAATTGGCCATTGGTCATCTGCTTCATTGGAAGAGTGATGAATATGGAACACCAATAGTTTTCTCCCGTCTTAACTCAACTAGATTTATATTTCAATCAGAGGTCATGGAGTTCTTCATCTGTTTCAGGAGATTCTCCTGTTTGATAATTAAATTTCAAGGCATTATGATGTTATATTCTGTACTTCATTCTGGCCCACATAGTCTGCAGTTCTTTATTACAGTAATAAAAAATAATAAATGCATGCCTGCAGACGAAAAATTTGAACTACCAAAAGCCTCGGAAAATTTACTGTAGTTGCATACCATTCTCGTGTGAATTTATTACATGGTGGCTTGTATGCTTGTTTCTATATATTGGTGGGGATCAACGCTGATGAAGAGTACGACAAATCCTTTTTCCTTTTTTATTTCAAGCTGCAAGCAGATCTCAGATCATCCGAAAGTACCTCACATGAAAAATAAAAATAAAGTAGAAACGCTAGTATCTTCCCATATCATTAGATAATTACGGTCAGTACATAGATTAAGAGATATTTAATATAGTAAAATATTATATTTAGACTTTAAAATGTCTTTATTAAATACATTGATCATTGATGTTTTGAGTTTTGACCACTAATAAGATATTAAATAAGGGTAATATTTTGGAGAAAAAAATACTAATTAGACTTTGAAATTCTAAAAACATCAATTGTTTTGAGATTAAAAAAGAGGAAGATGAAAGCTAAATCGTGATATGAGGAGGTAATATTATTTGGTGATTAGAAAGTATTGCAAGCGGAACTTGACTGATGCCAGCTAAAGTTTCCACCTTTTGAAGCTTAGTGGCCAAGCAACTCGATTTAAATATACAAACACCTATGTTTGTTAGCCTAAAAATAAGCAAAAAGCAAGAGGAGAGTGAAAATAAGTTTGTGTGTTTAGTATGTAATAAATGAAGGGAGTGAGAAATTAAAAAAAAAATTATAGATTTCACATCTTTTTATTTCCACACTCAACTGAGAAAACATAATAAAGAAATTTGTTCTTACGAAAAATTTAATCGATTAAATTATTATTTAATTGATTAAACAGTCTCTTTAACTAAGACACTTAGAATCATTGTTTTAAAGTTGAGTTCAATGCATTATAATTTTATTTCTAATCATACATAATATTATTTCTTCTCTATTTTTTTTAAGTTAAATATTTAAAATCCCACAATATTTCTTATCTATTTTCATTTACTTATTTCTCTCTTCTTTATTTATCTCAACTCTATTTATCACTTATTTGTTTTCTGGCGATGGAACAATATGCAAGTCTTTGAAACAGCAAGGATTCCCACAGTACAAATTGAAAGCTTCCTGGTTGAGTATGTTTCCAGACCGAAGTGAAAATGTTTGATTAATCATAACTATTTTGCACTTTTCCATCATATGTTCACTATTCAAATGATGTGAAACAAAGTAGTCTGGCTTAAAGAAATGAACACCGACATTTTGAAGAAGGTAAAACATCTCCTTATGATGATTATGAAGGAATACCTGTTTGTGTGTGAATGAATCCATATATGTTATCCATAGTTGAAGCAGTAAAGAAAGTTACCTTCAACTCATGCATACTATATTTGATATTTGGGGGGGAAAAATACATAACTGTTCTGATGCTCCAATTCCAACTGAGAATCAGATTACAGAAGTAAAAAACTGAAACCGATTACAAACTGTTGTCTCATGATCTTAGTGATCTTTGGACACTTGTGACAAAATGAATACAAATAACATACCAATATAGGCAGCTATTCCACAGAAATTTAAACCACCATTCATGTGTTTCCAGCCTGCATGGAATCAAAATAACCACCAAAAATTACCAAGCTTCAAGAAACCTCTCATTGCTTTTCATCAGTCATTTTCCCTGAATTGCGGCCCGCAATCCTTCCAAACGAGCCCATGGCCGACAAGCTCTTGAAGCTGCTGCTCCCTTCACTAAAATTCGATTTTCGTGATCTCCTTGGCTTCATAGGGCTAGATTCCACTTCTGTATCACTGCCCTTGTTAATCTTAGCAACCAGTAATTGAAGAATGGGACCACGGCAAAATGGACAAACTGGTCCAGAAAGGCCAGCTGTAGCAGGATCAGGCTTCTTGTGACAGCATAGCGCTAGGGTGCAATGAGCACACATTTGATGGCCACAGGGTCTGACCTCAATTGTACACGCTTGGTCAAAACATATGCAACACAGCTCCACATCGCTGCCCTATATGAGGATAAATAACTAATTTATCATCTTTTCTAGACAAAATGTACCCATGTATCCAGGAATAAACACCAAACCTCATTCATGCATTATAACATGACATGTTAATGAGGCTATTGCATTCTAAACCCTGAAAGCTACTTAATGACCTCGGATCTGGTTAGATAAACTTGTCTGGAAGCACTTCTAAGAGAAAAAAATAGGAAAGAAAAATAAAACAAGTTTCTCCTTAAGCTATAAGCTAGTTTTAGCTTATGGAGAAGCTTGTTTTATTTTTTCTTCTAAGAACTGCTTTTGGAGAAGTTTATTCAAACAGAATCCTATTACTAGTTACTACAAGAAGAAAAAATGCAGCCAACCAAGTGACAAACCTACCAAAGACTACATTGCAGATGAAATAGGACTGTGTAATATGTTCATATGTCCCAAAGAACATTCTTGGGACCTCTATCAAAGTATATTCTTAGTAAACTACACAGTAAAACACATTAAAGTAAAACTTACAAATCTAAACTCAAAAGCAATCAGGAAAGAAACGTGTTGTACCTCAGAGGCAATATTATCGTCTTCACTCTCAGAATGCAGTGGGGATGTTGGCCTGTCAGCCTCCTTCAGTATGGTCTTCTCCCTCTCCCTGTTCGCTTCTAGCAAGGCCTTTTCTAGTAAGGCCTTTGCTTCTTGATTGAGCTCACTGATGAACTTTAATGGGGATGGCCAAACAAGCGGTGCCGCTGATGAGGGATCCAACAGTGCAGCACATGCCTTGTGCTTGTGCTTCAGGGCAACTGTGAATGGTATTTTCCTGAAAGAGAATTATTTAAGCCAGATCTTAACAGATTTTCTTGTGATGACAAAGGAATCCAGGATTTGTTTTAGAATTATGGAAAGGACATAAAAAGAGATGAAGAAGGAAATCATTCTCTGTTGAGATTAACCAAGTTAGGAAAAACAAAGTCTTTACTGTCTCCAAGTGTTATTTCTACAGAAACATTTATCATTTTAAGATGTAAAATGTGCACTATTATGTCAGGAGTGAAATCCAAAATGCTTCTTATTCTTGCATAAAGTAAAATATTGGACCAAGTCAATCAATAAAGTTTTTCTTCCCTAAGCCTTATTTTAAGATATTTAGGTGCACAATATAGATATCAAGCACAAATTATAGTCAAACAGTCTCCGAAGTATAAGTTTAAGTTTATCATTGATGAATTTGTTTCTTTAGCTAATGAAGTTCAGGTGTTAAGTGAAACAATTCCATTCTGAGGCTATGGAAATTATTTCTTAACAACCAAGCAAATTTCAAAGCTTCAAAAAAGTTCGCAAATTCATTTAAGAGAAAAAAAATGAATCTTGTCGAATAGTTTATTCCTTCTTTTATTTATAACGAGAAATTAATTACCTTAAAAATTAGGTATGCAAATTTAGCAACTTAGCATCTATATACTAATAATTCAACCAAACCTTCAAGTCTTTTCCTGAATTTTAATGGCGATCTACACCGACAGCAAGGGATCTTGAAACTTTAATTGACATCTACTTACCCAGAAGAATCTAATTGAAGTCTATCCGCTCCCCAAGCAAGCAAAATCCGGACACAGTCCAAAGAACCACCACGGGCAGCCATATGAAGTGGCGTGCTTCCAGGGTAACTGCACATGTTACTTTCATCAATCTGACTGAAAAGCCATTAAAACTCATACAAGACTGATTAATGTAAAACTTCTAAGACAATTTTTTACCCATATCCACCAGTTGAAGCACAAACAAGAGCACCATTGTCCAAAAGGGCATGAAGACATTCAGGCCGTCTATGGCGGGCTGCAAGATGCAGAGGGGTGGCCCCATTTCCATCTCTTATATTGACAAATCTTGCAAATCCCCTGACAATTCCATTGACAAATTAGGCATCACCATGCATGCTTGTATGTGCTTGGACCCATAGTGGTGAGTGTGTGCAAGTGTGAGTGAGAGTTAGAGAGTCTAACCAAGAATCTGCAACAGGTGTGGAATGAGCGGCAGAAAGAATGGCCTTAAGGCAGTCAATATGTCCATAATATGCGGCATAGTGCAAGCACGTTCTTCGACGTATAGAATCAAACATCAATATCTGAAACATTAAAAGCGAATACCATCACTATCTTAACTAAGTTAAGGACAAGCCATTCAATTTAAAAAAATAAAAATAAAAAAACAGATAAAGTATAACATACATTTGCTCCAGCATGAATAAGCTTCTCAACACAGCCAGTCTTTCCGTGCATCACAGCCAACATCAAAGGGGTCTATACAAAATCCAAAGGCCATACGAAATCAATCAATATAAAACAAGGAAAATCAAACAAAATAAGAAGATAAATGAATTGAACTTCTCTCCTGAGTTAAAATCAACTTATGTACTTCAGCTTTTGAAGAAATTAAATGATAAACCTTCTGAAAAAGTCAAATGCATAAGTTAATTTTAACTTGAAAAGTTCAATTCATTTTTCACTTAATGTCTGCTTGGATAAACTTCTTAAAAAGCACTTCTGGAAAATAAAAATAAGAAGAAATAGAAATGAGTTTCTCCATAAGCTAAAACTAGTTTATGCATACATTAAAAATAAGACTCTGCAGAAGCTAATAAGAAAAACCTTCTACAAATCAGCATATGCATAAACTAATTTTAGCTTTTCTTTCTTATTTTTCTATTCGTAAAGTACTTTTCTGCAGAAATCTATCCAATTAGACCTTTAGAGTCCGATCGAATACAAGCTAGGACTGCTTTTAAAATCTTCTCTACTGAAAAAAGCTCTTTAATTTTAGCAGATAATAAACTCTTGAAAGTTGTTACAAGCTTGTATCCAACAAGACTTTTAATATATTTATAAATGTTTGTAAAGAAGTTTATCCAAACATGTAGTAAAACTTAAAAGAGTTCAATTGCAGGCAAAGATAAACATAGACA